GTGGGGACACTGCTGGGTGGTGGGACAGGCAGACACGCTCAGGGGTCTCCCCAGGCTCCAAGCATTAGCCTTGGGCACCGGGCACCAGGGTGGCAGCCCCCCGCCTCGCAGAGGCTCCGTGTCCCTCCACAGGACCATTCAAACCCTGGCTACAGTCCCCCAGAAAGCCAGGGAGGAGGGGTCGCCTGCAGCAGGAAGTGTTTGCTCTCCAGCCCCCAGGGTCCCCTGGGCCCACAGCTGCTGGGGTAACGAGCCCTCTCGGCGACAGCTCAGACGGGGGTGCAGGCTGCGTGCAGGGGAGAGGCAGGGAGACCGGAGTCAGGCGGGGGGTGCGGGCTGCCAGCCGGGCGGGGGGGGCGAGGGGAGGGGCGTGTAAGCGGGGAGGTCAGGCCCCCACTGGTGCAGTCTCCGGGCACAGGTCCTCCTGCCCCAGCCAGTGCCAGCTTCCTGGCCCCGCCCCTGTGCATTGGCAGGCGCACTTCTGTTCCTGTAGAAGCGGGTGGCCCCCCAAAAGTCATGTGCGCTCCGCCCAGTGCTCTGAGCCCACAAAGGGGGCCCAGCTTGGCTTCCCTTTACCTGTCCCAGCCTCCACAGGTGACAGTCCCCGCCCGCATGCAGTGTGTCCCATGCGCGTCCCCACCGCTGCCAGGCTGTGAGTCCAGCTGCCTCCTGCGCCTTCCTGAGCTCAGCTCTGCGGAGTCCGAGGGGATGCGGGAGCGCACACTTTGCCATCTTTGATGGCCAGAGGGCCTCCCCACCTTGTCCACACCCCACCTGTCCCTGGAAAGGGGCAGGGCTGGGTCATTTTGCTCCATTTCACTGAAGGGGAGACAGGGGCTCAGAGAGGGACGGGCCTTGCCCAGAGTCCCCCGTGCAAGCTGTGCTCAGACCCAAACCCCGATCTTCCCGTCCAGTGGGGCTCGGGGCTCTCCCCACCCAGGCTTCTCACTCCACCAGTGCCCTCAGAGCTGGTGAACAGGGGCAGGCCTTGTGGGGGGGGACCACCACTGCCACCCTCTTGTGCCTCCGGGCTGCAGAAGGAGGGTGTGAAGAGCCCCACCTCACATGACACTGGAGCAGGGCGCCGGGAGGGTGGGGACCCCAGCGGCAGGTGCGCGTGTCGCCAGGCTGCAGACACGTGGGGTCAGCCAGCTTTGCCTGGATCTCCCCAGGCAGGAGCTACACGAGTAGGACTAGCCAGCGGCCACCACGTCCTCACGGTCGCCCCCTACTTCCATTTCCAGGGGAGCCTGGGGAGGAGAGCCTGGGTGCCAGGGAAGGGACAGGGCAGGGGTGCAGTCATGGGCGTTGGGGTGGGGGGTTGACTACCATCCTGTTTGCAAAGCTTCCCAGAGCTCAGACGCAGAGCTAAGCACGAGCCCCTGTCCCCCAGTACAGCCAGCCCAGCCCCACAGACTCCAGGAGTCTGAGGCAGGGGGGAGGACAAGTGTGACCCAGCGGCTTGGGAGCCCCTGTGAGACGTCCACCAGCACAGGCTCCCGTCCCCCTGGGAGGGCCTGTCCTGCTATTCACCTCTCCACTGCCTGCAGGCCACCGGGGGGTTTCCAGTAAAGGGGAAGGGGCACCCCTGCATCCTTGGAGGAGGCTGGGGCGGGGCCCTTCCCCGCTCACCATGTGTCCCCATCTCTGGCTGTCATCTGCTGGGTGTCCCCTCTCCTCCCTCGGTTCCAGGCCCCCAGCATCAGCAGGCAGGGCAGGATCAGAGGGTGTCCCCCAGAGAGCCCTGTGTCTGTCTGAGGCTCCGTGGGGCTCCTGCACCCAATCTATACTTGGGGGGACAGAGGCAGAGCCCGCATCCCAGGGCCTCTCCTTCCACTTCCCTGTATGACTGTGGCGCTGGGACCCAGGGCCTCCTCTCCCCTCTCCTGACTGAGCCAGAGCCTGTGCCAGAGACCCCCCGACACCCTCAGGGCCCAGGAGAGGGCTGTGCCCGGTCGGGATCACAGACCCTGACACAAGGCTGAGCATCTCCCCCATCCCAGTTCTACCGCAGCTGAAGGAGCCCCAACTCCAGCCCCCATCACCCGCTGTCCCCTCAAGATCCTCCCACAGCCCCAACTGTGCCCTCCAAGGGGCTGCCTCTCCCACTGTGTCACCCAACACCCCAGCCACCCTGTCAAGACACCTCCAGATGGACTCCTGGAAACCCCTGATCACATTTCCCCTCTCTTCTTGAGAGGGAGATTTCCAGGGTCTTGAGGGTGGAGAGAGATTGGGAGATGAGCCACAGTCCTGGGGGGCGGGAGGACGGGGCATCCCAAGCCCCACTCTGGAGGCTTCCCTTCCTGTCCTCCGTGTTCAGGCTAGCCTCAGCTCCCCCTGCTCTGTGGCAGCCCCAGGCTGGGCACGGGGCTGACAGGCAAAGCAGCCTGGTGCCCACCTTCCTGGGGCTCATGGTCTAGTGAGGAAGCCGAGTCTAAAAGCCAGAGTAGCTTCATGTGGTGAAGGCTCACTTATAGGCAGCAGATGCCAGGCAGGGCTCTGAAGGATGAATAGGAGCCCTGCGGGGGGGTGGGAGGGACAAGGTGAGAAAGGCGTTCTCTGAGGAAGGATGTGAGCTGAGCAATGTGGCAGGGCCCACTCCTGGTGAGGCCTGCAGCGGTGGCGACACAATGCCGGCCATGGCCCATCCTGTAGGGAGGCCGGAGCTAAGGCAAACCACCTGCCAGGAGAAAATATTCACATCACGTATGTCTTGGATCCAAAAGATATAATTCTTCCAACTCAATAAGACAAACAACCCAATTTGCAAGAGATTTGAACAGATCCTCCAAACCAGAGAAGATGCATAGACGGCACCCGCAAAGAGGCGCAACGTCATTGGTGAGCGGGGAAACCCAAACGACAACCGTCGGAGCGGCTGAGGTTAAAGTCTGACCAAGTGCTGACGAGCCTTTAGAGCCACTGGGACTCTCAACACCCCCGGTGGGAATGGAAAGTGGAACGGACGCTTCGGACAACGGACTGGCAAATCGTTACGAAGTCACATACACACCTACCATAGGACCCGGCAATTCCCCTCCTGGGTAAATAACAGAGAGAAATGAGACCACGTGTCCACACAGAACTCGTTTATAGAAGTTCAGAGCAGCTTCTCCTGGTGATAACCAAGAGCAGGAAACCACCCAGACACACAGGTGAGTGGATATGCGAAGTGTGGCATATTCATACAATGGGATACTAGTCGGTAATAAGAAAATGAATTTTGATACGCACAGCATCACGGAGGAACCTCACAGTCACGATGCTGAGTGAAGAACCAGGCCCAAAGGAGCCAGGCTGCACGACTGCATGGACGTGAAATTCGGAAGCAGGCAGATACAACCTAGAGTGACCGCCGATCAGGGATGCTTGGACCAGGGCTGGGGCCTGCCTGCAAGGGGCCGGGGTTAGTGTCAAGGGCTGCCACGGCAACGTACCTGGGGCTGGAGGGCTTAAACAATGAGAACTTATTTCTCTCGGGTCTGGAGGCTGGAAGTCTGAGATCAAGGTGTCACAGGGTTGGTCTGAGGCCTCCCTCCTTGGCTCGCCAATGGCTGCCTTCTCGCCACGTCCTCACCTGTCCTTTTCTCTGTGCACATCCCTGTGTCTCTCTTCGTACAAGGACACCAGTCTTATGGGATTAGGACTCCTGCCTTTCGAGCTCCTTTAACTGGAACCACCTCCTGAGAGCCCTGTCTCCAGATCCAGCCACCCTGGGGGTCAGCGCTTCAACACGTGAATTCAGAGCAAACAGTCTCCGAGCAGAACGCCAGTTCCCCAGCGCAGGGAACTCTCTCCCCCGCTCAGTGCTATGTCGCCAGCACCTGGCGACAAGAGGGCACTTGGAACAAATCTGCTGGACAACGGTGAGGTGGAGGAAAGCCACCCGGTGCTTTCAGCCAGCATCACTGCCCTCCTGGTGAACTGAACCATGTCACACCTGCAAGGACATGCCGACCAGGTCTGACCTCAGACTGAACTCAAACACCGTCACCGCACAAAAGTGACCAGGCTGATGCAGTGACCGCAGCTCCTTCCTTCCACACCCACAGCTCCAGCCCCGCTCCATCCACCGACGTCCTGGATGAGATGTACTGAGATGCCCCATCACGGACTTACCTGGCCCCTGACAGTGAAACCGAACAGGAGCCTTTGGGGATCCTGGGCACGGAAACCTTTCTGTGTCCCCCGTTTCTTGTTTGTAGGGAATAGACTCCAGCCTCCGTGACCTTCCCTGAGTTCCAAAGGGCAGATTTGAGCAGTTGCTAATCAGGGAAGGGAGGGGATGCAGAGACAAGGGAGGAGACCACCTGAGGCCAGATTAAAGGAGCGCAGGCCCTGCACCGCAATCCTTATCAGCAAGCCCACCCTTGAGCCATGGCTATAAAACTCCTCACCAAATCCCCCCAGGCTGGGACATAATTTTCAGGGCATGAGCCCACTGTGCCCCTTTGCCTGGCAGAGCGATAAAGCTATTCTTTTCTACTTCCCCCAAACTCTGTCTCTGCGATTTGATTCGGCACCTGTGCACAGAGGCCGAGTCGTCAGCATGGAGAGTACTCCTTGAGCCCTCCCCCCATCACCCTGCAGAGCGCCACACCCCAGATTCCTGTCTGACACCCTCACCGGGACACCCTCACTGCATCCTTGTGGGACGCGGACGTGCTCCCAGCACCTGGCTGCAGCGCTCCGGCTAGTATCCGGCTTCTTCAGGTAAAGTAGCAACAAGATGAACAGATGCTCTTCCTCTTGCCTGTGGCAATCCACCCTGGGGCAGAACTGGGGGATCAATTTGCTAAAAGATCTGGGACACCCACACACAAAAGTGTGCGCTAGCATCCACACACGTGTGTGCACGCACATCCCAGCCACAAGGACAGGGAGGCCCAGCCGAAGTCCCTCCTGCGTGCGTATGCTTCTCCACAGCCTGAAAAACGCCAGGTGTGCTTCCGGGCTGGGGGCGATGGGGGAAGTGGGGGTGGGGGGGTAGGGGACTGCCACAGACCACGTCTGCTTTCTCCTCTATCCTCTTCTGCATGGTGTGAGTGTTGGTAACCGTAAGTTTCACTTTTTACAAGAAAAAGGCTGATCAGGACACAGATTAACATTCACTTCTGGTCAAGGCCGAGTCCCCAGGCCAGCACCGGGGGGCCCCATGCTGTCCCCAGAAGGGAGCCCCGCCAGGCACTCCCTGTCCGCTGCACCCCCCCATTCCCCACTCTCCACGCTGGGCCCCCAACTCCTCAGTCCAGGACTGCGGGGTTCGGAAATGAATCGGGCCCAGCCCTTCCTGGCCACGTCCAGGGCTTGGTACACCCATGTGGCAAAGCAGCGTTAGTCACCCCATCACCAAAAGGTGGAAGACACCTGGGAATCCAGCCGCAGAAGAGCGGCACCCCTGTACAAGGGAGGTTTATTCACCCAGAAGAAGGAATGGAGCTCTGACATCTGCTGCAGGGTGGATGAACCTTGAGGACACGATGCTATGTGAAATAAGCCATCACCAAAGGACAAGTACCGACTAATTCCAGGTGTGTGAGGTGTCTGGAGTAGCCAAGCTCGCAGAGACAGCAGGTGGAAGAAGGGCCACCAGGGCCACCGGGAGAGGAGAAAGGGGGAGTGAGTGTTTAATGGGGAGAGAGTTTCTACTGAGATGGCAAAAAAGTTCTGGAGATGGATGGTGGCAATGGCTGCACGGCAATGTTTATGTCCTTAAGGCCACAGAATTGTACACTTACCGATGCCTAAGGTGGTAACTTTTATATTATGTATGTATGTTTTATCACTATCTGAAATCAATGATTCAATAGTTTTTTTGTTTTTTTTTTTCCCAAAGAAAGCAGAAGTGATCCTTGCAGGGATGGGATGTTCTATATCTCAACCCGATCAGTGCCTGTTGCTCTCATCCCTGTACTATAGTTTTGCGAGACGTTACTGACAGGGAAACCAGGTGAAAGGTGCGTGGGATCCTCCTGTGTTGTTTCTTACAATTCCCTGTGAATTATCTCCAAACAAAACGTTCAACTAAAAGAATACAAATAAAAGGGAAGCACTGTGAATTGAAGTTTGCTCTGGAGGTGCAGGAAAAGTTGGCCAACAGGTGCCCAAGCTCACCGGCCGTGGACCCTGCACCTTCGGAGATGCCACCTGGGGTGTTTCGCCAGCTTCGGTCCTCGGCCAGCAACAGGAAACGCTGCCCGCAGGAGGTGACCTGGGAGGGTTAGGCCCCTTGGGCCTGGAGTGCCTGTCCTGTCCTCCATCTTCAAGAGCTATAGTTTCCTTTTTTTTTTAATGTGAACCTTGAACATGTTTTTCCCCATAATCATGTTTGTCATCAAGAAATAAAAAAGATAGCTCACCCTGGCCTGTCGCCTTTGTTTAAACATGGTCGCAGGATGTAATTTCACAAAGAAAACCTGGGACAATGAAGGGGATGTTGGTGTTGAGGCAGGAGATAGATGGGCCCCGGGCTGAGCAGCTGGGATCTGTGCCCTGTGGACAGATACTCCGAGATAAAGAGAATCACAGAAGCAAGGAGGAGCTGAGCCCTGCCGGATAAAAGATAAAGAGACCACACAGTCCTCATTCTCGAGGTCAAGGAGACCTTCCCGACTACACATGCGCAGAAAGCCTCCTTGGGGGTCAAGAGGGAGGGGGTGCCACCCCATAGTACGTGATGTCAATCTACCCATAGGCCTCTGCGCTAGAATCCATCTTGGCTAAGAGATGAGCACGCACACAGGGGAGGACCCTGAGATAAACCAAATACGGACCCAGAGCCAGGCAAACCAAGATGACTGGCCAGAGGAAACCAGAAGAAATGCCCCACATAAGTGATTCAAACTCTACCCCAAGGGCACGACTCTTCCTCTGAGCCCGCCTGTCTGTGTCTATCCACACGTACCTTTTCCTCCCTTTTTCCTCCTAATAAACACTTTACTTGTTTCATTTCATTTCATTTCATTTCATTTCTACAAAGCAGACAAGCCAGGGTCTCGTCACTGGCCGCTGGCCCTCGTGGTCTAGTGGCTGGGATTCAGCACTGTCACTGCTGAGGCCCGGGAACCGAGATCCTGCTTCAAGCCTCTGCAGGCTGAGGCCGCCGGAGATCCGTGCGTGGCAACAGCCTGGTGAGAGGCTCCCCATCCCCCACTCATTCTCTCTCACCCCTTCGAGCATTTGTGGGGCAGCCCTGAGTCCCCACCCACCTGTGAAATGGACACGCTGACGCGTATCCATGGAGAGCCTGCGACACCCAGGGCCGGGCTGCTCTCCCACTCCACACTCAGTGTACGTCCCACACCTGCGTTCCTGTGTCCCATAGAAGGTCCTCCGCACAAGCCCTCGATCGACCCCCAAATAATCCATCTTGTCGGGGGGACCCCCCCCCATACTGCTGCTGAGATATCTGACAGGTGACAGATCGGATCCCTGGATTCGCCATCCAGCCACACTGACCAACTGCCCAAGTGACCCAGAAGCAGGGGGTGTGTCCACGGCCCCAGCCCTGCCCCTGGGCAAAGGCCCTGAGATAGGCTGGCGGGGAGAGGAGGGGGCATCGGCCCAGGCACGCAGTGGTCGCCCGCTGCGTGGCTGAAGGTCTCTGCCCCTGCCCCCTTAGGGAAGCTGGAGGGCCCTGAGCCAGCGCGGCCTTACCCTGAGTCCAGGCTCCGCAAGCCTCCAGAAAACCATGCTCTGTTTAGCCCACATTTATTAAGCACCTACTGCATGCCAGGGAATGGGGCAGAGGGATGGCCCATTGGGGCTGTCCCCTCCCCCAGAGGAGTGATGTGCTGGTAGACAGGGTAACTAGAATCCTGAGTGCGGACAAGGGGGCTCAGAGGTGGGCACCTTAATTGGGGTGGGAGCGGCTCACGACCCCATGATCTGGAGCTGCTCCAGGCACAGAGGCCGCAGCGGTATCCACAAGGCGGCCGCAGGCTGCTGTGGTCACCACACACCCCTGCTCGCTGACCTCCCTCTCTGGTCCCTCTCCGCGTGAGGCCGGCCTCTGCCCCCCCCCCACGGGGCGGTGCTTCCCGGAAGGTGACGCCCCTCTGGTTTTAGCGTAACCCCACGCCTTTCCCAGAACTTGCCTGAAGGCCCGCCCAGGCCGGGGCGGTCCCTGGCTGTCTGTCCCCACCCACCGTGCCCTGCACACACCCGGGGCTGGGGCAGGCTTGAGCCGAGGAGCCCTCCGCCAACGCCTCCGCCTCCGCCTCCGCCTCCGCCTCCGCCGCGGGAGAGACCTCGGCGCCCCTTCCCTTCCCGGGAGCTGCCAGGCGGCAGGGCCAGGCCGCGAGCCGCCAGGGGGCAGCAAACCCCACACCTGTGCCCCGGTCTCTCCTGGGCCGGCTTTAGCTTCCACCGCGGGCTCAGGGAGCTGGTGGGCAGGGGTCTCGGGCCACACGCCCTTTAACACTGTGACCCCACGCCCCCTCCTGTCGGGTTCAGTGCAGGACACTTCTCAGCCCTGCTGCCACGTGGGAGAAGGTGGGGAATAAACGGGGGGCGAGATTGGGGGGACCGGAAGAGGTATGCAGGGGGCGTTCCACTCCTTGCTCTGCTCCGTCATGCTGGGCGGCCACAGCAGGGGCAGGGAGGGGGCGAAGGAGGTCAGGGCGAGCCCCCACTGCTGAGGGGTACCAGCCCACCCCCGACTCCTGGTGTGTACGTGGCAGGGTCCCTGAGTCAGCAAGGTCTCGGAATGCTCTGCTGTGACAATGACGTTGCTGCCTTGGAACCCACGACTTGGGCACCAAGCGGGGCTCACACAAATGGAGGCTCCCCCCAGGAGGCCTGGGGGGGGAAGGAGCAGTGGCTGCCTCAGAGCACCCTGAGGGTCTTCTTTGTCATTAGGGGCCGGGGGAGTGGGCTGGGCATCGACCACGGTTCCAGAGAAGAGGCCAGCAGGGCAGGGGTCTAGCCCAGGATACCCCGGCACAGTGCCCCACCCAGCAGGCCCAGTTCCCTGCCCGTGCGCTGGGCGGGGGCCCTGAATCTCAGGGGTGGTGGTCAGCTTGGGGTGGGGCAGAGACCCAGGGGGAGTCTGCAGACCACAACTTTTATTCAAGCCCCATGTTATCCAGCTCTGAGACATACACGGTGTTTACCCTGCAAGCATCCGCAATGCATACGCCTGCATCCCACGGGGATCTCACGTCCCCTTGCCCCCACTGGTGTCCGGCAGGTGGCCACGCCCTTCAAGTGCACAGCATGCCCCCAGCCCACTCCCTCTCTAACGTAAAGCATCCAGCCCTTTCCTGGCCTGGAAGAAGCAGAGGTCCAACTGCAGGGCCTGGCTGGGATGACCGAGCACACCTACCCTCCCCCAGGCCCCTCCCCACTTCCCTGCCACGGACGATCTTGACCAGTTACAGCCTTTGTAACACACAAAACCCTTGTCCCCAGGACCCCTCCTTCAAGGTTAAGACCCAGGCACTGCCTGCAGCTGACGGCCCCGCCAGTGGCAGGCTGGCTGCTCAATGTCGGCCCTGGCGCAGGCAGGAAAAGGATGGGAACCACGTTCCTTTCTTCAGAAGAAGCGCTGCGCCTGGCCAGCCCGGGCCCCCTCTCCTTTGGGCCCAGGGGCCTGGCAAAGTCCCCACCAGGGCCTCACCCGGACCCTGTGGGAGGGGGCTGCGCGGGCGTGCTGCCCTGGGGCGGCGGGAGAGGGAGGTTCTTCTGCAAGTCGCTCTTCAGCTCCGCCTGAGTCTCCATCCTCGCCTGGTGATGGGACAGTTCAGGAAGGCTTCGCGGAGGCGGCGCACCATGCCTTCCCTGGATCCATCCGTGGTGCTCTCAGTGTTGGGGTGCTGCACAGAGTGAGCCCAGCTGGTGACCGCGCAGGGGGAGCGGAGACGGGCGGGGCGCCGAGCCCCCAGTTTACGTGACACCACCGACACAACCCCTTCCACCCCCCAGGCCGGGCGCGGAGCTCACCAGGAAGGGTGCCACCTCCTCCTCCGTGATGTCCCTTCCCCAGCGCAGGTGCAAACGTCTCGAGCAGGAGGGAGAGCAGAGCGGTGGTGTGGCGTCCACAGTACCCTGCCGGAACCCCCGGGGGCGCCCTGTGCTGCTGTCACACCAGAGCCTGATTGGGCTTCACTTTGGGGGTACGCCTGCCGCCGGGCACGAGGGGCTGGAGCGCCTGGCGTAGGAGGGTGGCAGGAAGGCGGTAGTGGTGGTGCCTTTATGGGACTGGGTCGGGATGGGGGGGCCCAAGGGTAATCGGGCTTCCGCACCTCCCCACTCTCGGCAGCCAATCGGAGACTGGAGCTGGACAAAGCTCGGGACACCAGAGGCCGCTGGGCTGGGTAAGGACGTGCCTCCGCCCCCAGCAGGTGGGGGCGTAGGCAGGGCGGTCGGGGACACGTGGGGCGCAAGCTGGATGCCCTGCCCCTGCGTCCAGCCCTCTAAGCCCCACAGACCGGCCCCCAGCGGTCCAGCAGCAGCCCCAGGATGCAGGGCCAGGAGCAGGGTCCTTCCCTGGGGTCTTAGCATATGGAGCAGCTCCTTCCCTGACACCAAGGACGAGCGTCCCCACTGGCCACCCTCTGGTCACTGCCTGTCCACCGGTGACACCCTTGGTCCCTCTTATGAAGCTCTCCAGTTCCTCACACCTGACCAGGAGCTCTCTCAGCCAGGGAACCTGCTGGACCTGGTCATTCTCACTGGGTGACAGAAGTGGTGCAGGGGCCGCCCAGGATGTGGGAGCAGCATGGGGACACATCCTAATCAGAGAAGGGTGCTACCAGCAGAGCCGCACCCAGGGGTCAGGGCCCCCGGACTGGGCCAGCACCTCTGCCCCTGGGAGTTCCCACCCGCCCCCTTGCTTTTGAGAAGCCAGGCTCCAGCTGCCACCTCCTCCAGGAAGCTCCCCTGGCCTCCCCCGGCCTCCCCCAGGCTGGTTCTCTTCTGATTTGCTCTGGGCACCTAATTCCTGGGGCCAGGTACCCTGCCTCTCCTCCCTGCCAACCCCACCCCCGCTTCTCCAGGACCTGCTATTTTTAAACAGCTGAACTTAGGGGGCTCTTACACCAGCCCAGGGAAGTGGCAGTGCTGTCCCGCACGTCAGATGAGGAAGCTAAGGTCAGGGAGGAGGCCTTGCCCAGCCCTCTGCCCCCACCATGTCCCCCTCCTGTCACCAGCACTGTGGGGCAGAACGGGGTTGGGGTGGGTGAGGGTTTCAAAGCAAATGGGAGGTGGGAGAAGCAAGGCAGTGTGCTAGCGAGGTGACGGCCCAGCGTGGATGGGGGGGTGGGCAGCCCGATGGCAGCGGCAGGCACAGCAGCAGGAATGTGAGGGTCCGAGAGAGAAGGCCCAGGATGAGTGACGGGGGCCCAGGAACCATGCCAGCCTCG